GATATCTCAGCTCTGGAAGGGTCTAGAGCCTCCATTGTTGCACTCAGGTCTAAGTCTCATGGCCCTCTATCAGAATCCAGAGTTTTGAGAAGATTGGGGATACTTAATTTTTCGCCCAAAAAAAAAAACGTAAGGGGTAACACTGTCGTTTTTTTTTTCGGGTCGAAATTTTGATTTTCGATATCTCAGCTCTGGAAGGGTCTAGAGCCTCCATTGTTGCACTCAGGTCTAAGTCTCATGGCCCTCTATCAGAATCCAGAGTTTTGAGAAGATTGGGGATACTTAATTTTTCGCCCAAAAAAAAAAAAAACGTAAGGGGTAACACTGTCGTTTTTTTTTCGGGTCGAAATTTTGATTTTCGATATCTCAGCTCTGGAAGGGTCTAGAGCCTCCATTTTTGCACTCAGGTCTAAGTCTCATGGCCCTCTATCAGAATCCAGAGTTTTGAGAAGATTGGGGATACTTAATTTTTTCGCCCAAAAAAAAACGTAAGGGGTAACACTGTCGTTTTTTTTTTCGGGTCGAAATTTTGATTTTCGATATCTCAGCTCTGGAAGGGTCTAGAGCCTCCATTGTTGCACTCAGGTCTAAGTCTCATGGCCCTCTATCAGAATCCAGAGTTTTGAGAAGATTGGGATACTTAATTTTTTCGCCCAAAAAAAAAAACGTAAGGGGTAACACTGTCGTTTTTTTTTTCGGTCGAAATTTTGAGTTTCGATATCTCAGCTCTGGAAGGGTCTAGAGCCTCCATTTTTGCACTCAGGTCTAAGTCTCATGGCCCTCTATCAGAATCCAGAGTTTTGAGAAGATTGGGGATACTTAATTTTTCGCCCAAAAAAAAAAACGTAAGGGGTACACTGTCGTTTTTTTTTCGGGTCGAAATTTTGAGTTTCGATATCTCAGCTCTGGAAGGGTCTAGAGCCTCCATTTGTGCACTCAGGTCTAAGTCTCATGGCCTCTATCAGAATCCAGAGTTTTGAGAAGATTGGGATACTTAATTTTTCGCCCAAAAAAAAAAAACGTAAGGGGTAACACTGTCGTTTTTTTTTCGGGTCGAAATTTTGAGTTTCGATATCTCAGCTCTGGAAGGGTCTAGAGCCTCCATTGTTGCACTCAGGTCTAAGTCTCATGGCCCTCTATCAGAATCCAGAGTTTTGAGAAGATTGGGGATACTTAATTTTTCGCCCAAAAAAAAACGTAAGGGGTAACACTGTCGTTTTTTTTTTCGGGTCGAAATTTTGATTTCGATATCTCAGCTCTGGAAGGGTCTAGAGCCTCCATTGTTGCACTCAGGTCTAAGTCTCATGGCCCTCTATCAGAATCCAGAGTTTTGAGAAGATTGGGGATACTTAATTTTTCGCCCAAAAAAAAAACGTAAGGGGTAACACTGTCGTTTTTTTTCGGGTCGAAATTTTGATTTTCGATATCTCAGCTCTGGAAGGGTCTAGAGCCTCCATTGTTGCACTCAGGTCTAAGTCTCATGGCCCTCTATCAGAATCCAGAGTTTTGAGAAGATTGGGGATACTTAATTTTTTGCCCCAAAAAAAAAAACGTAAGGGGTAACACTGTCGTTTTTTTTTTCGGGTCGAAATTTTGATTTTCGATATCTCAGCTCTGGAAGGGTCTAGAGCCTCCATTTTTGCACTCAGGTCTAAGTCTCATGGCCCTCTATCAGAATCCAGAGTTTTGAGAAGATTGGGGATACTTAATTTTTCGCCCAAAAAAAAAAACGTAAGGGGTAACACTGTCGTTTTTTTTTCGGGTCGAAATTTTGATTTTCGATATCTCAGCTCTGGAAGGGTCTAGAGCCTCCATTGTTGCACTCAGGTCTAAGTCTCATGGCCCTCTATCAGAATCCAGAGTTTTGAGAAGATTGGGGATACTTAATTTTTCGCCCAAAAAAAAAAAAAACGTAAGGGGTAACACTGTCGTTTTTTTTTCGGGTCGAAATTTTGAGTTTCGATATCTCAGCTCTGGAAGGGTCTAGAGCCTCCATTGTTGCACTCAGGTCTAAGTCTCATGGCCCTCTATCAGAATCCAGAGTTTTGAGAAGATTGGATACTTAATTTTTCGCCCAAAAAAAAAAAACGTAAGGGGTAACACTGTCGTTTTTTTTTCGGGTCGAAATTTGAGTTTCGATATCTCAGCTCTGGAAGGGTCTAGAGCCTCCATTTTGCACTCAGGTCTAAGTCTCATGGCCCTCTATCAGAATCCAGAGTTTTGAGAAGATTGGGATACTTAATTTTTCACCCAAAAAAAAAAACGTAAGGGGTAACACTGTCGTTTTTTTTTTCGGGTCGAAATTTTGATTTTCGATATCTCAGCTCTGGAAGGGTCTAGAGCCTCCATTGTTGCACTCAGGTCTAAGTCTCATGGCCCTCTATCAGAATCCAGAGTTTTGAGAAGATTGGGGATACTTAATTTTCGCCCAAAAAAAAAAAAACGTAAGGGGTAACACTGTCGTTTTTTTTTTCGGGTCGAAATTTTGATTTTCGATATCTCAGCTCTGGAAGGGTCTAGTGCCTCCATTTTTGCACTCAGGTCTAAGTCTCATGGCCTCTATCAGAATCCAGAGTTTTGAGAAGATTGGGGATACTTAATTTTTTCGCCCAAAAAAAAAAACGTAAGGGGTAACACTGTCGTTTTTTTTTCGGGTCGAAATTTTGATTTTCGATATCTCAGCTCTGGAAGGGTCTAGAGCCTCCATTGTTGCACTCAGGTCTAAGTCTCATGGCCCTCTATCAGAATCCAGAGTTTTGAGAAGATTGGATACTTAATTTTCGCCCAAAAAAAAAAACGTAAGGGGTAACACTGTCGTTTTTTTTTTCGGGTCGAAATTTTGATTTTCGATATCTCAGCTCTGGAAGGGTCTAGAGCCTCCATTGTTGCACTCAGGTCTAAGTCTCATGGCCCTCTATCAGAATCCAGAGTTTTGAGAAGATTGGGGATACTTAATTTTTCGCCCAAAAAAAAA